TTCATCTCCCTCAAAGACTTTTTTTTTTCCTTTTTGTCTTTTTTACTGACCGGTAACGAGATTGCAACCCTTGGTGTTGCGCCCGCACCGCGCTCAGCCAGTGAGCGGGAACCGGTCTCCACATGGGATCCGAACCCTCAGCGGGAGCGCCGCCACGCTCCCAAGCGGCGCACTCTCCAGTGCACCACTGGGCTGGCCCTCCCTCAAAGACTTTTTAAATCTCATTTCTGCTGAGACTAAAGCCCACTAGGGATGTTGATATCTTAGTTCTGTGACTACCTCTGCCTACTCCCCCAAGGTTAAATCCTTGACCTAGTCAGTACTGATAATTACCACCATTTGTAATCTTAATTTCAAGCATCCCATTCTCTGATCATCTCAATCCCTCTAACATTCCAACTCCAATAATTCTTCTACCTCTCTGGGACCTACAAACCACAGATCCTAACCCATTCAAAGTGTCCCTCAGTTCCCGCATGTTTTCATCTTCCTCCTTACCTGACTTAAATTCCATGGTCCTTCATTAAAATCACTCCCTTGTATGCACTCTCAATTTCTTTGTCTCTTCTTACTTAATTGTACTTCCCTGGAAAAACCTCATCCCTGGCCAACTGCAGCCCTCTGCCTACTCCATGCCTAAATCCAGGCAGCTCTGTGTTCTTGGAGAAGAACACGCAATGGTCCTTTAAATTCAGGACCTAACCTCAAGTGGGACCTTAGTGCTGTCTCACACTTGCTAACCTGCTCTCCTAGAAAACAATCTCACACCTTTTCATCTCACCTCAGACCTCCAAGACCTCCTCCCCAATCTTCATGTTAGCCTCTGACTTTGTTTTGTATTTCATTGAAAAAGTACAAGCATTCAGAAGATGACTTTTAAAAGCTCCCACTGTGACATCCACTTGCCTATACATCCACTTGCCTGTCTTCATCCACGTTCATGTGTCCGTTCGGCTTTCCCTCCTCTTTCTGTGGGTGACCCACCTGTGCTTCTCAGGCCGCCCCATCCATTTGTGCATTAGGTCTCATCTTCTCCCACACACATAAGCACATCATTCTAGAAATTTCCTGTTTTTTATTTTATCATTTTTCCCTCTCTACTAAATCATCCCCATCAATATGAAAACATGCTGTATTTCTTCTGTCTTAAAAATTTTTCTTCTTGATCCCATGTCCCCCTTCAGATACTGCAAAATTTCTGAAAAAATCTGAAGGGGGAGATGGGATCAAGAAGAGAATTGTTTAAGATGTTAGAAATACAGCATGTTTGCATGTTGATCTCACCTAGCCTCACAGGCTCAACACTGTCTATGTGCTGCCCTCCCTCATTTATATCTCCAAATAAGTCTGCTCCCTGAACTCCAGACCTTTATATCCAACCAACTAAGTAAATACCTACAGAGGTATTTAGCTGGCAACTCAAATTTAACGTGTCCAAAATGGAATTCCTAATCTCTGACTTCATCCCTAAAATTGTTCCTCACCCCCAACAGTCTTCCCTATTTCACTAAATTTCAGCTCCAAATACCACCGAATCATCTTTGATTCCTCGCTTTCATACCCATGTTTGAGCTGTCAGCTAATTCATTTGGTCTTCCTTCAAACTATATCCTGGACCAAACTACTTCTTGCCACTTCGTCCCTCATTCAAAGAATCATCCTCTCTACATTAGTTCAGTGATCTCCTGACTGGTCTTTCTGCCTCTATCCTCTCCCCACTTCCTTTTGCAGTATCTTTTCCATCCAGAAGCCAACGTGATTCTGTTAAATATAAGCTGTTAAATATAATTCTATTAAATATGTCTCTTTGCTTAAATGCTCAATAGCTCATATTAAAAGCCAAAGTTCCATCAATGGCCTACAAGATCCTTCACTGTCTGGCCAGCTCTCTGACCACATCTTATATGACTCTCCCATTCTCCTGGTATTCAGGTCACACTATCCATCTGTTGTTCTTCAAAGGATCCAGGAAAGCTCCTGCCTCAGAGTCTTAGACTTTGCTCTTCCCCCCACCTTGAGTACTCTTCCTCCGGATGCCTGGATAGCTTGATCACTAGTCTCCTTCAAGTCTCCCTCAAATGTTACTTTCTTAGCGAGGCCTTCCTTGACTATCTATTTAAAATTGGGATCCCATCCATCCATCCTTCAGTCTCTAGCCTCCTTTCTAACCTTATTTTTCTCTATAGCATTTATTACCACTGTATAACAAACATTTTACTTATTTGTTATTTCTTATATGTCTCCCCCTACTGGAAGGCACACTGCTTGAGGACAACGATTTTTATCTGTTTTGTTCACTACTGTGTCCCCAGTGCTTAGAACAGGCTCAGTGTAGGTGATCAACAAATATTTATTGAATAAATCAGTCAATCAATGAGTGAATGAATACCTTCCTACTCCCAGTTCAGAAATTTTCCCATCATTCTATACAAATCTATTATTCCTATGATAAAACAAAAAAACTAATACATTATGCTTTTATGTTATGTTTCATAAGTAACTTGCCACATCATCCTTTCTTCATGGCAAATGTAATGTTTAAACTTTTAACGTAACTCACTCTCCCAGCCACCGAATCCTAATTTGTATTAGAGTATTAAATCCATCTGAATTGAAGATGTAAAATAGCAATACAGATCTATACTCAAAGTGCCCTTTGTGATGCAAAGAATCAGAACTGAGTCAGAATATATTTTAGCTGCCTCAAATGCAGACTTGCATTTAATCTGCCAGGCAGTGGTGTATCTATGATTCAAACCATATTTTTGTGCATTATGTTTTTGTTAACTGCCAGCATGGTCCAGAAATGTGTCATGAGCATTTAAAGGACAGACTATGACCAATTAGGATACCTACCTCCATGTTACCTTTACTTTTGGCTGATTATATGTTGATTGCTACTAATCAGCACCCTATTTGAAGTGAACAGATTTGTCTGATAGAGGGAGAGAGTAAGGATAGTTGCTATATTGTTTTTCAACAGCTCATTTGTGTCTTAAATGAAATTTTATGTGATTCTCTTTAGCAAACCACTTTTTCCCATTTTAATTACTTTCTTTTATGTGGTGCATACACAGCATTTTTACATGTGTAGTATACATTGTTTGCATGTGTATTTATAGACGCAGAAATCATCATGGTCCCCAATCAGTAGTTTCTACCATTATTTAAAGCCTGTTAAAGCATTAGCGCTTTCTGTATTCACTTTTATAAATCCGCTTAAATGTATCCAGTAGGGGAATTTGGTCAGTTGTCTTTCAATCACATGAATAAGTTGTCATAGTCTAAATATCTGTGAAGGATCTCCTAGTAATGGTTTATTCAGCTTAGATCCAATCAGAGTGAACTTTTGACATTTGCATTGATAATAACCTTAACCTTCTTCCAAAAAAATTTGGGCATTTTAGATGCTGTGAATGTCCCTAAATAGTTCTTTGGCTTTTTTAGAAAGACACCTGAGACTTCCAATATTTCCTCTAGAGGTTTATGAATGTATATATGTGATTGTGTGTGTGCATGCATGTGTGTGGATAGGAGACTAAGAAAGAGAAAATACATGTATGAATGTATATATGTGATTGTGTGTGTGCATGCATGTGTGTGGATAGGAGACTAAGAAAGAATGGGAAGTGTGAATGTGGAGATGGGCCATTTACCTTGGCCAAACTTCTGGAAGGAATTGAACTGAGCTGCTACAAGATAAGGTTAACTGTAAGATTTAAGGCATCCATTTAGTTATCTTCCTACTGAGGTAGCTGTGGGGTCAACATCAAATGCCCTGTGTACAGCAGGAACGTGACCCAAATGATGGAAAAGAGCTATCAGCTCAGCAGCAGTGTGTTTATCTAACTGCCAAGTGGGGTTGAGCTAGAGGTTGGCCAGCGAGAATAATTACCAAAGTACAGTAGGGAGAGGGAGCAAGTCAGGGCCGAGAAGGATTTTACAATGAAGAACCAAAGGTGATGAGGGATTTTCAAGGGTTGGCTGCAGCTAACATGGCTTAGTGTGACCTTTTCTTTTTTTTTTTTTTTTATCATAAACAAAAAACAAAGCCAATAGCATACATCTTCCCTGATTCTGCCTTCTCTCTGTGGAGTTACTAATTGGATTTCAGTCACTCTGTGGTCGCTCTGTGGACTAGCATAGTGATCTGACTTGGCACTGATAGGCCCCCAAAGTTCATTAATGTAAAATAATCGCATAGATGACCTCTCTGCTCACATCTGATCGGTGGTGGTCAAAGAGTTTAATAATGATCGATGTGGCAAATAGTCCTACTGTTCATTTCTTGTGGTGATAAAACCCTAATTATGTTTTGAGAATTGTTGTTGAGAATCCACTGACACTTCTAATTATTAGTGGCATAAGTTATCAATATTTGGAGCATTTTAAATCAGCATTTTATTCATGTATAGGAAAGGAAGCAAGATTCTAACCTGGAATATGCATAAACTACACAGGCAAAAATTATTCTTAAATTTTACTCTTATCTACTAATTCAGAAAATTGTAAAAAAACATTTTATTAAAAGTCCATCATTGTCCTGTTGTAGTAGTCATGACTGCATAGAACCACACACACATGCAAGCACACACAAATGAGCGAATGTAAAACCGGTGAATGTGAATAAGGTTAGTGGACTGTAACAATACCAATTTCTGGGTTGTAATGTCATGTTATAGGTATGCAAGTTATTACCACTGGGGAAAACTGGGTGGAAGGTATGTGGAATCTCTCTGTTATTTCTCACAACTACATGTGGATCTATATTTATCTCAAAATCGAAAGTGAAAAATAAGTCCATCACTTTATAGAATCTTACTGTTTTAACACATCAACACCAAAGACCAAGAAATGGAGATTGGTAAATAGTACATGAAATATCATTTTTTGTAATATGATTAGACAATTGATTTAAGTTTCTTAGACAGAAAATAGTGCTTTGAGCTTTACTGTGGTGGATAATTTAGAAGTCTAACCTTATGGATACTTCCTTGGTTTGTTCAACTCAATTCACTTCCCATCACTATATTCCTTTTCTTCACAGATCTGTGTCTCCAAGTGCCCAGAAAAATTTTTAACCTATTTGGAAATGCAACTTTTATACCGAGACAACAAAACCTACTGGGAATACTACAGTCAGTTCTGCAAGCCCAATGCTAAGCCTGCGAAGGTATGTGTGTTTAAGCTTAAAATTAGAGAAGAATTTAGCTTTTTTTCAATCTCAAGTGTAACATGAGCACTGGAGTGGAAAAGCTCTCACATCTTCTAGGAAATGATTACTAGTAGCACCATTCCATTAAAACACAAATACAAATACACACTCACAAGCACACACACCATCTATAGCAAATCATTTTGTAGACTTGAGGTATAGAAAGACTGTACAGTCCGGTAAGTTGGTTTCAAATATTCCCTGACACCAAGAAATAATGTACTTGGATGGATTTTTTACTGTCAAGAGATAGGAAGCACACACACCATCTATAGCAAATCATTTTGTAGACTTGAGGTATAGAAAGACTGTACAGTCTGGTAAGTTGGTTTCAAATATTCCCTGACACCAAGAAATAATGTACTTGGATGGATTTTTTACTGTCAAGAGATAGGAATTAATGTCATTTTCAGTCACCATTTCATTGTTGTGGTGATGAAACCCCATGGCTACTTAGTAACAAGTAGAATTTTACAGTTTGATAACTATTCATTTAAAAACGAAAAAACTATTCATTTAAAAATCCCAAACCCGTACCTAGTTTTGAGATTTATAAGGGAATTCTAAGGCCTCATGATGTTAAATAATATTAATGGCTTCTAAGTTAGAGAAGATGCTCTTTTTCGAGAAAAAAAATTGAAGGAGTAGACTCAGGATGTGGCTAAAACAAAGATACATACCTTCAAAGGTGTGTGTTGGTTTCAGAGGGTCTGGTTTTATTATTATTGATTCAACTGAATTACAGTTAGGAAGGACATTTAAGAGTGTTTGTCAAAAGGTATGTGTGTGTCATAATCTTACAATTATTATTATTAGGGGAAGTAATTTGAAATAATGAGATTATTATGGAGTTAAAACTTTAAAGCACAAATTCTTATATTGAGAGTGAAAGTAGTCATCACATAGCCTTTGAAATGTTAACATATTCTTTCTTTCATTTTAGTCTCTTGCACAACTCTTACTGGACGATGATTGTCCAACAGCTATTTTTCCAAGCAAATCTTGTAAGTGGTAATTATTTTACCTTAGAAACAAAGAATCTACCAATAATTTATTTAATTAGGTCCCCTTATTTCACAGTTGATAAAATTGAGGCCAAGAATGGTCTCATGACTGGCCCAAGGTCCCGCAGTTAATTAGAAGGAAAGTCAAAGGTACAGCCCTTCTCCTGACTCAGCCAGGGATATTTCCACTGGAGCTCTGGAATTTTCTGGGTTTAGCTACATGAACACATAAGAAAAGATTGGAAATTGATTTTTAAAAGCCCAATCAGATTGATTATTTGGTGCTCTACAGCACACAGAACTCATACACACCCACCCCTGAATTCAGCCAGAAAGTTTGTCCAGAAATTGCCTGGGGAGTATGGGCACTATACTTGTATTTATAATGTGAAATTTGAAGTATTTATATGTCTCTGAATGAATCAATATTTTTTCTCTTTAAAATTGTAAACTCTAAAGTGATACTCTGTTTAGAAGAAAATAAACTAATCATTTATTTTCCTTTCTTAAGGATAGAATCCTAACCACAGAGAAAACACTTTACATAAAAAATATCCATCAGAATGTGTATTCAAAACAACCAAAAAAATAAATAAATAGAAAGGGAACACTCTGATATCCAAGATCAAGAGAATGCTCTAGTAAATTATGATGTATTCATTAAATGTAATATTTTAGAATTATATAATATAAGTATTATAAAAACATATACGTGCATATGTTATAATGTTTCATAAAATGCAAACTGTTACATGCATTATACTGACAAGCAGATGTAAATTAAAATAAACCAAAAAAAAAACTATTCAAAGAAAAAGATTGTAAAGAAATATACCAAAATATTAAGTGGTTGTTTTGGGAGTGGCAAAACTGTAGGCATTTCCTCCCTTCCTTCTTATTTTTTCTATCTCTACATTTTTCTACAATGAGTATATATTTCTTTTCAAATGGAAGAAAGGCAATAGTCATCAGTTTGAGTAGAAATTCAAGTACCATTGAAGTAGCTACCACCAGATCCATGTCTTCAGTGCCCCCATCACTCTTCTCTGGGTCATTAAAGACCCTGAAACAAAGAAGTCAGTCCTGCAAACAGCAGCACTTACCAGGAAACCCTGGGCAACCAGTGCCTGTAACCGAGAAGTGTTACAAATTTTTGTGCAAAAAAAGGTAAAAAAAAAAAAAAAAAGGCTACTAAAGATATAATAGGTATAAAAGGATGACCTCATCCCTGCCCACGTGCCTGTAACCGAGAAGTGTTACAAATTTTTGTGCAAAAAAAGGTAAAAAAAAAAAAAAAAGGCTACTAAAGATATAATAGGTATAAAAGTATGACCTCATCCCTGCCCATGCAAGTACAATTTGGTTAAATTACACGATATAAAATATACATTGGAGATATAGAAATGAATAAGCATAGTTCCTCACAGTCTAGTAAGGAAGACATTAAGGTAAACTTACCATCAACTTGTATTCCTCCTAATTGGGGATAAACTATAGTACTCGGTGGAATAGTATGCAGCTAAAAAAGTCCACTCCTTAAAGAGTTTATATAAGAAACTAATATTAAGAGAAAGAAACAAGGAAAAACACTGCATATTCTGGATATTTTGACTCTAAAAAAAAAAAGAACTTTCTTGTAGAAGAAAGACTGGAAGACTAGAAGGAAATTCACCAAAATGTGAATATACTTCACTGTTGGTGGTGGTAGGACTATGTATAGGTTAGTGTCTTCTTTCATATTTTCTCTACTTTTAAATATGTAGTGAGCATATTTAGTGATGGAAGCTAGCGGATGGGATGAGATTGCCCAGAAATAGAATGTGGAACAAGGTCAGGAGACCCTCTAGGAAGGAGCACTCATATTTAAGGGATAGAAAGGGGGGAAGTGCACAGAAAGTCAGAAGGGAGGGCAGCATAGAATCTGGGCATGTAGGCCAAGGGAAGAGAGTTTCAAGAAGGCAGGGGATGTCTACCATGTAAAAGGCTCAGAAAAGTTAAGTCATTCAACAGCAGGTTTTTACTGGGTTCTACGATGTGCTGAGTAGTATGCTGGGTAATGGGTTCAAACACGATGAAAACTAAAAAATATCGAGATTTTGGTAATTAGGAGGTCATTGGGATCACTGGGAGGACAATTTTTGTGTAGTGGTGGGGGTAGAAATCTAATGATTGAGAGGGAGTAGGAGCAGCTGGTAGAGGCTACTATGTCAAATTTACCATAGAAGGGAAGGGAAGAACAGGAGAAATATGATACTAGAGGAATAAGCCTTATTATAAGTGCTTATTACAGAAGCTGGAGATGGGAAGTTGAGTTCATTTTAAGCTAGGAAAGGTTTTATAAAAACATATTGCTTCTTTCCCTGTATCAACTGCTTTAATATTTTCAGTTTTAAGCTTCATATGAACCCATGCAAATCAGTGCTGCTTCTTATTAAAAAAGCATAAAAATGATCTATTTCTTATTTTCCTTTCCTCTTCATTTGAAAGAGAACTGTTAGAGCTGGCTGGTTAGCTCAGTTGGTTAGAGCATGGTGTTATAATACCGAGGTCAGGGTTCAGATCCCCATACTGACCAGCCACCAAACACCCCCCCTGCCAAAAAAAAGAAAAATAGGGGCTGGAAAAAATTTTTAGTAATAGACTTGTAAAACAGGCAACAATTCTATTTAATCAAAATGAAAACATAGAAGATTGAACAGTGATTTAACTCTTCTTAGAAATTACACTAGTCTACAAAATGTGGGCCTCTTTTGACAGCTTCAGAATTTCCATTTCCAGCCCATCCAAAAAAGCATGTAAATGAAAAGCTGGAAGAGAGACAAATTATTAAGAATTCACAAACAAAAATTCAGTTGTCTTAGTAGCATAATGCTTAAGCTGGTTCTTATCTCCCAAGGAATTATTCACTAATCTCCAATTGTCAAGGTTTTACTCAAGGAGTATCTAAGATTTTTTTAAAATAACAAAACTAAATTCATTTAGTCATACAAGCAAATGTGGGCTTTTTATTAAAATGTGTTTACCATGACTGATATGTATCAGTGTTACTCTTTGAAAACTTATGCTGTGCATTTTATTTGTGACATGATAAATACATCATATATAAAATAATCAACAAGTTTAGAATGTAGGTTCAGATTGCAATTGTATTTGGTTTCTATTTCAGTCTTAGAACCATCAGAAAATCTTCAGATCATCAAGTATCTGTAATGGCTGATTAGCTATCTTACTGAGCAATTTACATGCCTAGGAACGATTTGATTATAAATGACAGAAAGCTTAAGAAAGGGAGGACATCATGAAAGAAGTAGAAAAGTGACTACCGTGATTTTAATTTATTTTTACAGTTCTCCAGAGATGTCTCCCTGACTTCTCTACTAGAAATGGCTCTTTAACAGTAGGAAGGAAGAAGCTGTTTGCAGATGGAAATGGAAAGACAAGAAATGTTATAGAACTCAGGGAGGCTTCAAAGTATGTTTGTTTACATTTCTACTTTCAGTTTTGATGCATCTTGTTATTGTACCCAAGACTAAAGTTCACATTAGGTTAAGGGTTATAGGAAAAGAATTATGTACTGTTATGAAATATACATAACAGTGTATGTATATCTCCACTGGGGGTTGGAGAACTTGATATATGTTCATTAAGAAAAGCATGTAAAGAAGGAGAAAGCAGAATGAATTAGAAAGAAAAATGATGTTTTTCAAAATAATTAAAGGTTTCTTTATCAACAGGTATAGAAATGTGACATAAGGAATTGTATTGGTGCCATATCAAGTTTCTATGTACCAAGTTTAATGCAGTAAATTTATAGTTTCCCTTGGATGTACACACATGGTGCTTCACGACATTGGGAAATATATTTCCCTGGGTGCACACACACATGTAAACATGTGCACAAACATAAACACACACAGAATATCACTGCATAGCTCAGTTGTTGAATTAAAAATGAAAAATAAAGATATCCTAAAAATGTATTTCTCTTCCTTGGAAAACTTAGTAGAACATGTAGTATAGTGTGGCTCTTGCATATTTAGAATACAACAGCAACATGGATAAATTTTAGAAATTTTGTGAAAGAAATTACAAAATAATAATACAAATATGATTCTAATAATAAAAAATTCACAAACAAGCAGAACTAAATTAAATCGCCTTGTGATGCATATATAAGTGATAAAACAATAAAGAAAACATAGGAGATTATTATGACAAAAGTTAGGATAGTGGTACTTTAGGGAAGATGGGGATATTGCAACGGGGGCACATGGGGAAGGGGCTGACCGTGTTGTAGTTATATGCGTGTGTTCACTTTGATAGTTCATCAAACCTGACACTATGATTTGTGCACTTTCTGGTATGTGGCCATCATGCTGCAATACCGTCAGAGGATTAGAAAGGGGAGTTAAAGATGACGTTCATTCTTGACTCTATGGATTTTATGAGTTAAAAGCTGATTTTATCATTTAAATTCATTTCTTACAGTGAGTTTTCTGCAATATTGAGAGCATGTTGCATGCACACACTGGAAATAGATCTGTTCATTATTGTAGAAAACCATGTTCTCTGTGTACAGCTACAGCCACCTTTGCAGGTTTGCTGAAGTGACATTTCCTGTACTGTTGTGGGCAGGAAGAGAGTCACTACTGATACATGGTTTCTAAAAATATGTTTTAAACAGCAGCTTGCCAAATCCCTTTTATCATAGCAAAAACATTTCTGTTTACTGGTAGTCAAAAAATTATTGATTTTTTCCCCTTCTTTGAATTCAGTGTTATCAATAAAATCCTTGATGCAAGGACAATTGGAATGAAAGTGTTTGAAGACTATGCAACAACTTGGTATTGGATTCTCATGTAAGTGAAAACACATGTTTCTTCTTCAGCCCCATTCTGATTTTATCTTTCAGAACTCTTTCTGCAAATTCCCTGTTCTTATTTATGAATAAAATGTTGACTTAGATCTCAGTTCCTGCCATTTTCTTTTTCAGATAGGGTGAGGAGAGGCAAAGATATTTGGAAATATACCTAGAATTAGCAGAAATTATAAGAATGTAAATTTTAATATTATTAATTAAATTACTAATAAAAGTACTCTTATAAACATATACTTCAAGTCACGTGGGACAGCATCTGGAGTACTTCTGTATCGGTAGTACATTTGTGCTTCTTATCACGTTATAGTGGATACGGTATTTTTTTTTTTTTTTTTTTTTTTTTTTTTCTAATTTGTCCTTCCCCTGACTTCCAAAGAACCATTGTTATTTTTATTAATATGTCCCTTTCGCAAAATGATTGTTATCTTCATCACCAAAGGTCACTGTAGTTATGAGAGGCTGAAAAAATATATGAAGGAGGAAGAGATTTAAAATTTTCACACTTAAGGTTTGCATTCCTGGAGAGTTAAGGAAATGTAGTCACTTTATGGCAGTGGGTAAATGTGTTTGACCTATCTAAGTCTGTCATTACTATCTGGCTCTTATGTCACTTTCTAATGCTTTAAAGCTTCTATCGTTCCCTAGAGACCAAAGAGTAAATTTAAAACTTCTTTGGATACTTCCAAGGCCCTTTGCACCTTGGCCCAGCTTAGTTTCTCAGATTCATCTCCACCCATGTTTCTTGATTAACCTTAAATTCTAAACACATCAAGTAACATGCCCCTCCCTAGACTGCCAAATCCCATCTCTTTGTACATTCTGTTCCCTTTCCTGGCATATCCTCTGAGTCCTGGGCAACTTCACCTCACCCTTTACAGTCAGCTTTAGTGTCATTTATGAAACCTCTCTTATCTTTCTCAGACATAATTACTTCCCCCTCTGTGTTCCTCATATGTGTTATGCGTGTATGAGTGCGTTTGTGTGTGTATACATACCTATACATACACATACATACTTATCTTTAGACAGCACCTACTATTCTGTATTTTATCTACCTGACTTTTTCCCTCTGATAAGCTATAAACTCTTTACTATGAGTAACTATGTGTAATTCATCTTTATTTTCTTAACTCCTAGTATGGTTTTTGGAACACAGTAGATGCATAGAAAATGTGGGCTCAAGGTACAGTTATATAGACACGAGGGGAGCAAGATAGACATATTTAACTATACAGTGCTTAATAAAGTCGAAATTGTACTGTGTGTAAAATGCTAGTGAGTAGTTTTTAGAGCTGTACAACTAGATTATTTATGAGATTTTAGTCGTTTCAATGCTTGTCTTAAACAATTACAGTATTTTCAGTGTTTTAGGGTATAGCTCTAGAGCAGAGATTGTAGTTTATGCAGTCTATACTAGTAGTTAATTGGTTCCCCTATTGCCAGATCTAAATGTCATTAAGTAATTTCCATGTTTCTTCTTCATCTGGCTTTTCCACTCTTACCTGAACAAGTGTACATTATGATAGACTCTCCTGCTTACCTCACCCCTGACACACACACTGGAAACCTCTCCACCCAGGCACCACTCACACAACTAGAACATCAACACCTTCCTTTATTTTCAACTCTTCTGCTCTTGTCTATTTTATAAAATAAAGCTAAAGTACTGATATTCTAGGACTTAGTTTATTCAGTTAGAATTTTTTATGCAAAAATTTAAAACATACAGAATAAACAGCTTTATTTCTTTTTTCCCCCTTGACCTCTTTGAATATTTTCCTTGGACTCTACCATAGAGTAACCCTTCAGCCTTACTGAATATTTAAGCATCAAAATACCTGTGCTTTTAATAGGGAATGGCTTTTGGAGTTAAAAGCGTAGGCTCTGCAAGACTATGTCCTGAAAACAGACTTCTATACCATGCTGTCACCTATCCAGTGATAGTAATCATTAAGATTTCTTAAAAAGATAACACTTGAGATAAACTCAATAAATGGACCAGGCTCTGTCTGTTGCTATGTTTGGAAACTTACAGATAGCACCAGAGGTGTCAGTTCTTAATAGAAGAGTCAGCCAAGTTTCCAGTGTTAATGAGTTCTCTTTGAGGAAATTCTATTAGTAGACTCCAATACAACCTTATCCCAAATATATGGGGGGGGGGGGAAGAAACTTCTCTAGTAGCTGTAGAAATAAATTAAAGCAGATGGAAAATAGTCATGCTATTGATTGCTTGATAAAGTCACATGGCCCAGGAGACAAAGAAGCCTTGCCATTAATCCAAATAATGGCCCATAGATCACTGGGGACCTAAAATAGAAGTCTGGTGATATTAGGTATCACAAACTACTAGAGTTAATTCGACCACAGTGACAGTGACTACAAAATCATGGGTACAAGATGTGGCCAGTTATTTTTCTTGTCTTTCTGCCCTGACTATCCACTTACTTCTAGACAGCCATATTACAGAAGGTTTCTACTAGTCACCAGGTAGATAGAACAGTACAATTCATCATAAATATATTTTACAATTTATCATCTACTAGGTAGGTTTGAAGGAAAAAAAAATAGGACATGGCAACTATGGCAGATAGATCAAAATTGTAGGTTAGAGGAACTGTATTTTTCCTTGAACAATGATTGATACTGGACTTCACTTTACCTGGGCACACAAAGATGACTCATTTATAAAATCCATGATGGTCCTACTCGTTCATATGAAAGTATGAATAAAAACCATCATTTATACTTTTTAACATTACATGTAGTTCCATAGCCAGGTAAAATAAAATAATCTGAGAATCACTTTGAATAGAAAAAGTGTTGCCCTGATGTTCTTATTGTGTTATGTTTAGCACACTTGACCCCTGTGTTTGTTGTGGATTTTTTTTTCTCTAGTGGCCTGAGCATTGCCATGTTCCTTAGTTGGACAGTTTTGATACTCCTGAGGTTCATAGCTGGATGCCTTTTCTGGATCTTCGTGTTTGGTGTGATTGGAATTACAGGATATGGTAAGTGTCACTCCTATTTGATTAAATACTGGAATGATCTTTTTCTTTTCAGTTGCCATTATCAATTATCAGAAAGTATTTACTTCCAGTGGAATTAATTATTCTTTGTCCCTAAAAAAACCTTAAATTGTAAAAAATTTTTTAACTTTGCATATATTGTCTCTATAATTTTTTTCTTCTTCATCTTGAAAAACAGTGCTGTCAGAATGTTCTGCTACTCTCCCTACCAGCCTTTTGTCTCATGCTTCATGGGTGTTAAGAAGGAGGTAAAAAGGATCCCTTTTAGAATTATAAAAAATATTTCAGACAACATCTTTTATTCCTTTAAGTTTTCCATCTGATCGAAAACCAGGTCTGCATACTTACAGAAGTGGGATCTATTTTAAGCATTTTTAATCTAGGTACTGTCTATCATCCCTTTTAGTAATTGGTACTCTATGAGAAACATCGCTCTCAAGAGGCAAGTATTCTGAATTACACTCACTGGATAGAGAGTTACTTTATTTCAGGGTTAAAATCAAACCAGTCACTCAGTCTCCCCAAAGCAGTATTCATACATGTCAGGTGCACTGTGAACACTAAATGAAGGAATTAGTGTCTCCCATGGAACAGTATGCCACTCATGGCAGCTTATTCTGTCTTCTAAAAAATGTATGGGCCAATAGATGAATGTTTGAGAAGTTTCTGTTCAAAAGAATGATTTCCCCTACAATGCCCTTTGGATTGCCACCACAGTTTTATAGTAGTAGACACCAAAAGTAACAATCTTTTATTTCTGTCACTCAAAGAAGAGCTTTAAACATATTAGGATAAGAATGTTAAATCCCTAAATTCTATAGTTAGCTTGAGTTCTAATCCAGCTCCATAACATATAACTGGGTAACTTTGGAAGTTATTTAAATAAGACCCAATTTCCTTATCTATGACATTAGCACTATACTGGTATTTCCATCTCAGAAGATTGTAAGGATTAAATGAGACAATAAATTTAAAACTCTTAGATCAGTGCCTGGAGCCCAGTAAACACTTAATTGATATGCATTGGATTGTTATTATCTTCCTCATTAGGTTCAATGAGTTTCTAGTAAATTGTTCAGGTTTCCTCAGGTATTCTTTATCTGTGCCTGCTATGTAGTTGCTCATTAATCCCACCCGGGCTTCCTCCTGAGCTGGGGTAACAGATCAGATGTGGGATTTCTGGTGGAGGAACGCAAGAACTGCTGTCCCCTAATCAGAAACTCCAAGAAAAGATTTTTGTTTAAAAGTGTTGTTTTTGTGTTCCTTCTTGGAGCTAAAAACCCCTGCCCTTTGCCACTTGAGTGTGGGCATGTGATTCAATCACTCTTTTACTATCAACAAGAAGGGAAGGGCTGTAAAGTCTGCTATTGACTTCACTGACTTGTCTTACATAGCAAGAAATATCTGAGATTGGCTATGATGCAACTTTGACAATGGCAAAAGGGAGAAAGATGGTCAATATATAAAAAGTATTGTTAAAACAACCAATTTCAGCTCCCCATTGACTTCCTAGGTAGTTCTAACCCAGAAATTAATGATGTGGCAAGTAAGCTAGAAGCTGTTTTTGGGGTGAGGATATGTTCAATCAGGTTGGGAAGTGTCAGGAAATAAGACTGCATGTAACTGACCTCTGCCACTATCTTGGACAACTGACTTTCTACATATCATTGCAAACCAAATAGGAGTTTTCAAAATTTAAAAAAAAAAGAAAAGCTGTTAAATTAAAAATTAAGTTAAATAGGAAAATAGAGAATTAATGAACTGAAATATGAATCTAAAGTAATTACCCCCAATACAGCAGGATGTGACAAGAGGACAAAAATACGATTGTATGGTTAAAAGAACTACAAGAATAAATAAATAAGCCAATAAATAATAAATTGATATTGGGTATAATTCTCTGTTAGCGGAAGATTTCAACACATCTTTCTACTGAACAAGCATACCATAATGTATTTAAGAAGTCCCTACTGATGGATATTAAGGTTGTTTATAGTCAAAATGACATTTAAAGCTAAATATTGCCATCAGTCATCCAAATACTGAAAACACTTATATCAAATACAGTAGCACATTTAGACTATTAGATCCCAATAAAATATTTACTGTATAAATATGAAACTTGCCTTTGTAGAAATAACTGTGCTGATCAGTTTTATGTAGATATGTGTGATAAATATGTAGCTTCTATTTCAGAAAATAACATTTTACATTAGCCTGTTTTTCTTTCTTTTTCAAGGAATATGGCACTGTTACCAGGAATATACAAATCTTCAGGAACACCCAAATTCTACATTAACTATATATGACGTTGGGATTCAGATTAATTTAAGCATGTACTTTCGACTGAAACAAACATGGTTTGCACTTAGTGAGTGGATTCTAAAAACTGGTTTTGTTAAAATTGTAATAATGAGGAATTTTTTTTGTCTAAAGGAAAGCTTGGGTTAGTGTAACCTGTTAAATACATTTATCGCTAACGTCATTAAAGGTAATAAATATATTTATAATCCTACCAGCTATAGAAAATGGAAAAGTCACTGGGAAGAATTTATCATATAATCTAAGAAAATACTACTTTACAAGGATTTTAAGCTATTTATTTGCCTTCAATTTAAAAATGGTTTGGTTGTGGATGTTTATAGACATTAACCTGATATCTAAGAAAGACGTTTAAAAAGAAACAAATGCTTGATTGTTCAAACTTGTTTTTAAAAAGGTAAAAAGAAAAGGAAAAAGAAGAAACAATTTTTTTATAACAAGACTCTTAAACACATAATTTACATTTTTGAAGTGTTTATTCAAATTATTGAATTAGTTAAGGGTAATATTAACAAAATTTTTAAAGCAAGATGATTTCAGAGATGGTTTTAATCTTATATTCTTAGAATGGTCTTATGATAGTATTCCTTGCACTTCATGTTCTTTAATTAAGATTTAAAAAATAATCTCTAATTACATGTTGCTTTTAAAAAAAAAATTATCTCCACATTGTCGAAGTTAGAGAGGTAGGCAAGACATGTTCAAGGAAGTCTGGTAAGGAGCCCAGAAACAACCTCAGAAGGGGGCAATATCTTGGTGGGCATCATGATTCCAGGCACGGGTCCCGTCTCAATAAATCTGAAAACTTGATTTTGCCACTCCATTCAAGAATCCTTAGGCTTTGAACGAAAGGCTTACATATCACTGGAGTGTCATTTGATTTGTTTACACCATTAGGATACTCTCACTGTGACCAGAATGCAGACATATCCCATCTAGGACACTAATTTCCTGGGATTAAAACATATGTGGAGCAAGATTACCAATAAGAAGCTTTTTTTTTAGCAAAGGGGCTTTGATAGACTTGAGAGATGTTTTCTCTAGGCTGATACCAGCCTTGATAACCTAGTTCTGCAGCACCAAAGTCCCAACTAGATTCCTTTTGTCTACCAAATTCAGTTTTTCTCTTTTCCTTGGATCAAAATGACAAATTCTTATTCTTTGGCTTCCCATTTCTTGTCTCTTGTGCAGACTAGTTCCCTTTACTCACCTTATTTTTTTCAAATATGTTGCAGAAGAATTTTTTCATTTACAGCTTTTTCTAACTATGAAAATCAGGCATCTTGGGAATTGCATCCTCATGTTTCCTGAATTTGAGTGATTCCACATGTCCTCAGCAATCCACTTTCTGTTAGCTACCATTTCTGAAGGTGATGAATTTCACCCATTGTGTATCAAACCTGTAGTTTTACTCTTGGATGGATCGTATTACAGGTTCTGTGGTCATACCCTACTGTCTCTTAAGACCCTTCCACACACAAAAAATCATTGAGCTCATCAGACTCTGCCATCGGAAAAGTTTAGATGTACTTTTAGGAAAAAACAGAGCTTTTAAAAAATTTTTCTAGTCTAAAAATACCAGTCTCTCCTCACATGAGCCTCACCTTTCATAACTCACTCATCAGACATTAATTGCTCTTGTGGACAAAATTCTAGGCACCAGAGACAAGGGCATATATGTGAAAATATACTCATTGACAGAAACACTGAAAATAAGCAGTTATAAATATAAAAATTATAATTTTATGAATCCTAGATTGTGTTAGGAGGTGGTTCTAGTGCCATGTTGTTAACTAACTTCATGACCTTGGGTACCACTTCCTTACCCCCAGGTCTCAATTTCCTCCTCTGTTTAAGTTACACACTTAAACTAACTGCTCTATAGGGTATCACATATGTTTCTATTATTCATTCTTATTCAAACAAAAGGAGTATATAGTATGTAAATTCAAAAGACAGTTAAATCTTTTTAATGCAACTATTTTAAATATGTAATTTTGTAAAGGTAGATGTTTAATATACAATAATCTTTAACAATGCAATTTCAGAATAGAAAATGATTCTGCAATATTTCATTTTCTTAGGATTTTCCAAAGAAGATAACTATTTTAGCATAATATGGCTATACTCCACAATTTTGGACTCAAATTATTGCTTTAAGAGAATAAAATGTGCATAAAACTTAAATACATAATTTAACTAAAAGAAAATGTAGAAGCAAGATGATATATTACTAAGATCCTTCCATGCCTCTGGCTTAACTGATTTCTGCTTACTTGGAAATGTTAACTGATGTGTCATATAATATCAGAATCTTAGTGTTATAACAATAGAATGAAATAATGAGCTCCCCATTGCTGTTTAAGTGTCTGAGCATGAACAGAATCTATCAGAGAGGTTATACAAGGGATTCCTTCACCAGTGGGAATTTAGTTTCCATTAAGTTTCTTTTATACTTTCAAATTCTGTTACTAATAGTACCATATTTCCTTGATTGTAAGATCCATACCTTTTCAGTTTTTAACATTTCTGAAATCAGGATGCATCTTAAAATTATTGAATAGTCATTTAATGAAAGATTTCTTTACTTTTCTAAAAAGTTATTACTAAATTAAAAGTGTGTTTTAGAATCGAGGAAATATAATAATTAAGACTATTTTACTTCAAGTAAAAAAAAAAACGAATTCAAGCTAGTTGAAGAGAAAAGAAAATTGGAATAAGCGGGGAGCAGAGCAGGGGGTGTTTATTATAAGAATATAGAAGTATCTCATCAAACTCAAAAATGCAGAAAGGCAGTTGGACTTTCAAGTTTACCTCGATCCAGGAAACAAGAAGCCAAAAAGAACCCAAGATTTTCACCTTTTGCTCTCTTGCTTTATACACATACACTTTATTCCTTCTTTGCAAATTCACTTCACATATAGACAATTTTGATACAGCTCATTAAGTTTAAATTAAATTTCCTTAGTTTTAATTCTAAGACTTATATTGTCTAAGTTGGGTTTGGTTTACACTCATTGATGGTGGCCATGGTGGGTGGGGGAGTCACAGAATTAAAATGTGGCAGCTGAGAACCTACCATCTCATCATCAAGGACAATTAAGACACATTGTGAGCAAAGGGGGACAGCTCAAAAAGTTTTTTCTGTAATATTCTCCTACTTGAAGAACCAAAGGTGAAAACATCTAAAATAGAGCTGCCTAAAGCAGCCCTTCCTCCCATTCATGCCTATTTGCTATTGCTACAAGTGCTGTGAAATGTTTTCATGGACAAAGTGAAGCCTGTCCAATTGAGTTGTTCAAACTCTAGCTAGAGGTTTTAATTTGGATTTCTTAGCATTTCTTGGAGATTTGGAAAGTGAATTTCTAGGATTGGCATTTATGGAGAGGTAGAACTGCTTAAATCATTAGGTGTCAGAATTGGCAGAAATAACCATAAAGCTTAGTCCTAACTTTTGCACAGAAACTTTGTTTTTGTATTGATTTGTATCACAGACTGATTTTTTCTCCTGTTCAAAGTGATAATACTCTCCATCATTGAAGTGATTGTCATCCTCTTGCTGATCTTCCTCAGGAAACGAATCCAACTTGCCATTATCCTGTTGAAGGAAGGAAGCAAGTAAGACCCTTAATGCAGAAACTCAGATAATGTATATCAATCAGTTAAATCAGTCACTGTCCATTGCATAGATGTCTTAGACTATTTTCCCTTTAAGAAGACTTGTTAAAACTATTTTCCTTTCAAGAAGACTTGTTCAAGTTCAGACTCTGCCACTTTTTAGAAAAGTCACCATTAACAAGTCCTTTAATATCACCAAACTTCAAATATCATAGGGTAAAATAAGGATAAAACCTGTCTAGTTTACATATTATCATTTTTTTGAACACCAAATGTATGTTAGAAGAATAACATGTGAAAGTAAATGATATAATGCTATATAAAAGTTAGCTATATTACATGTTATATTATTTCCATGCTGGGTCATATGTTAATATTAATGTTTGAGAACTTTAAATCACCATAATTATATAAAGTCAATTAGGTGCTATTACCATTTCTGTATGAGTGACAAAATTTTCCAGTAGACAGAACAATTGATTCTAACAGAACCAGACTATACATTTTATATCTAAAGCTCATAATTCAGGAATACTTTAGACCCAGAGCTATTTTTATTTAAAAATTTACAAAATAAACAATCTTTTATAAAATTCATGCTGGGTGGTAATAACACCTATAATTTCCAAACTATTCCAAAAGGTCACTTGAAGATAATACTCTAAACTTTAATAATGCATGAAAGAAACAAGAAAAGCATTACTATGAAGCCAACAGACCGTGCTCTCTATTTAGAATGATGGAAACTAAGTTGTTAATGACCAAGAACCAAATTATTTTTAATAGTCTTTAAGGATTATTTTGATAAAATTACCATATAATTATTATAATAATAGTGCCACCTGAAGCCAGTGATTTAAATAGTTAACCAGCAGTTTGTTAAACTCACCCTCTTTACCACAATAACTGAAGCCCTATCATTATCCACTAAGAACTACTGATTTGTTGGGTTTATTTCTTAAATAGTATTAAATTGTGTACTTCACTGTAACTTGCTCCACTTATTATGTCCCTAAATGTGCATGCGTGCGTGCGTGCGTGCGTGCGTGCGTGCGTGTGTGTGTGTGTGTGTGTGTGTGTGTGTGTGTGTTGAAGGGCCAACATAACTGTGACAGGTTGATAGCTTGCTCAGGGGATAATAAAGACTGAAATAAGTAGGTGTGAAAATACAAGATAGACCACAGGACACTCAATAATTCACTTAAAGGTAGCATATAGGGAAAGGAGAAAACAGCATAGCTCAAATAGTGAGGGGATGAAGGTAACAAATGCAGAAGAAATCTAAATGTCAGCACTTCAGGAGGGTTCCATCATGTTATCAGTGGTTATATCCAACAGAACTGTGCTTAATCCAGGGTCATATGCTGAAAAGGTCATGTAAAAGCAGTAGTTATGAATAGCACAGTAGGATGGTGAACATTTCACAAACTATGTCCTATGAGAAAGTGTAAAAGAAATTATTACCCTGGAGGAAAAAAATGAATTACTTAGAGTGTTGCTATGTGGGAAGGATGGTAAAATGGTCATTTCTTCCCCATACGTTAGTGGATGTAAGTTACATGCATGCATATAAGGAAGAATTTTCTAATGCTCTGATTGCTAAGAAAATTGAAGAAGCTGTGTCGCATAAAAGTAAGTTCCCATCACACAATGTGTTCGCCAAAGGGTAGTGAACACATTTTGAAGATAGTATAGAAGCGATTCCTGAATTAGGGAAGAAATTTCCACAGATTAACAGATGATCTTCTGCAATTTTAAAAGTCTAAAAATCTAAACAAAAGGAAAAAATTTCATGATTATAATGTACCAAATCTTTATGGGTAAGACAGAAATAACCAAAGAGAGGAGAGTTTGGGGACTTATGGGCAGGAATCAAATATGGTCATCAGGAGAATGGCCCAACTTAGTTTTAAAAGTAAATAAATAAATAAAAATTTAAAACCAACTAAAAATATGCCAGAATGATCAGCAAAAAAAGAATCAATATTATTACCACTATCTTAGAATTAATTCAGTCTAAGGCTTAGTTCTAGTTCTAACTGGTATAAACTTAATTGAGAAAGTACAGCTCTGATTCAAACATCGTTCTGAATTTCAACTATTTGTTTTATTTCAGAGCCATTGGATATATCCCCAGTACATTAGTTTATCCAGTTTTAACTTTCATTTTGCTTTCAATCTGCATCGCCTACTGGGCTGTGACAGCAGTGTATCCTTTGGCAATTGACTTCTTTGAACCTCAGGTCCACATTACTGTTCAGAAACCAGGAGTTTGTGTCCAGTATCTACTATCCCTGGGAAGATGAGGAATGACCTAAAGAAGTAACTGATTTTTTTTTCCCCCAAGCCCTAAAAAAGTTTTGGTCTACTGATTGAATTTTCCCTCAAATAGGTTGTTTGGTAAATTTGTTTTATTCTGTCTTCACATATGATGTTTCTCTTTGGCAATAACCTAAGAGAGCTCCTATGTATTTTACTGGGCCAGTCACTGCAGCTGGACACTGTTACATTAATCTAGGCCTGAAAATGGATGATTATTAAAATATAAGAAGTATTTTGAAGTTAATATGCCCATGAACTTTTGAGTTATCTGCATTATTTTCTTGTCTATTTATTTTCAATCTACCAGCAAATACTTTGTCCTTAACAGAGTTCATTCAGTTTCTTGGCTACATCAGGGGTACCTGTATACAAAGTCACAGCCCCAGAGGGGCATTGTGTACATGAAAATGAAACCTGTATCCCAGAGGTAAGTAAAAGAAACTCTCATTTACTTACTTCAATACAGAATTTTACTGCATTTTATCTTGCAATTGTTGTAGAAATCATCCTGAAACAGAGATCCTGAGCACTGAAGGAGATCACATGTATAGAAGAGGAGGGTGGGTCAGGTGTTAGCAGGGGAACATTGAAAACTGGGCAGAATGAAGAGAAAGCACTACACTTCCTGAGCTTGCTTGTCCTATCATATACCCAAGAAGCAGGTATGGTCAACAACACCACTAAAAGATGTGAAATTATAGTGGGTGCATAGCGATGAGTATATGATGGAAAATGAGGTACTTCTCAGAGCTCATTAAAAAAATTATATAAAGTAAGGTAATAGAAAATAGAGAAGTAACGTCAGAAGCTAATGGAGACAAAACAGGACATGTAGTTGGGAACTACAAAAGAGGAAAAGACAGGGAGGTGTTATCTTAGAATGGCATTTAAAATTATATTCCTATATTGTTTTCTTCTGAATGCAGATTTTTAATACAACTGAAATTGTGAAAGCTTGCCCTGGGGCTCAGTGTAACTTTGCTTTCTATGGTGGAAAGAGCTTGTACCATGAATACATCACTACCTTCCACATATACAATCTGTTCGTATTTCTCTGGCTTGTAAACTTTGTCATTGCATTGGGTCAGTGCGCCCTTGCTGGTGCCTTTGCTGCTTATTACTGGGCTGCAAAAAAACCTGATGACATCCCACCATATCCACTTTTTACTGCATTTGGACGAGCCGTACGGTAAGCTGCATGTTGAACCCTACACCTAGTCCTCAGTTATATTTAAGTGTGCTTATAATTCATCTTGGCTAGTCAATTCAAGTGGCAAGGTACAAATAAGGTTAAAGGTATGATTCAAGATTCATGCGTGACCATTGGCTTTGTCTGGTTTCCTGGCCACCATTGTACAATCCCTACCTAGGCCAGTATCCTCCTAAATCCCATAGATTGCTGGAGAGAGAAAGAGGCAGATGAGGACACCAAATGAAAGATTAAGGATTAACTTGACTCTGTATCTCCATTGATTAACTCAAGTATCCCATTTTATGAGGACAGACTATTAGTATCATTTTTACATATAAAGGATAAGACAGATGTGTGTGGTTTAAAATTCTCTATGGAGATCTTTATCAATCCTTCTATAGATCCCCTTTACCTATGAAGATTGCTCAACTAGCATTCTTTTAGTTAATAGTAAAGATATTTTAACTTTTTTTCTCATTTTCTCTTTGCCCAGATATCACACAGGATCCCTAGCATTTGGCTCTTTACTTCTTGCATTAGTTCACATATTTAAAATGTTCCTGGAATACTTGGACAACCGTCTTAAAAGTAAGATTCCAGAAGTTATCTCAGGCTTCCTGACTTCTGTGAAGAAAATATATTGGGGCAATGGGTGAGGGGAGACCTGATGACTGTAACTTGGACTAGGGTAGAAAGAATGGACGTGGTTAGGTTTGGGATATGTTCTGAAGGAAAACCCAACAGAACTTGCTGAAAGATTGGATGTAAGGGGGAGGTGGAGCAGTGATGATAAAAGGAGAGAAAAGGTGTGTGATGCTATTTATTAAATGTGAAATCCAGGAGAATCGAATTTCAAAAAGGAGGTTAAGAATTTTGTTTTGACTTGTTACTGTTGAGAAGCATGGTAGAGATGTCAGGTAGGCAGTTCCAAGTCTAGAACTCAGGTCAGGTTAGGCTTAAAATATAAATGTGGGTGTCACTGGCATAAGTCTTCATACCTGGCACGTATTATTTACAAACACATAAACTCTGCTTCAAATGCTCCTCAAAAGATTTTATTAATAGTCAAAACAATCTTCAAAAGAAACAACAAAGCTGGAAGACTCACACTTTCTGATTTCAAAACATATTACAAAGCTATATCAATCAAAAGCATAAAGAACAGACATATAGATCAGGAATAGAATAGGTATTCCAGAAATAAATCTTCCCATATAAGATCATTTGATGGGGAAAGGTTAGTCTTTTCAACTAATTTTATTGGGAAAGCTGGATATCCACATGCAAAAGAATGAAGTTGGATCTTTGCCTTACACCATATACAAAAATTAACTCAAAACAGATCAAAGACCTAAACATATGAGCTAAAATTATAAAACTCTTAGAAAACATAGGAGGAAATCTTCATGTTGTTGAATTTGGCAATGATTCCTTGGATATCACACCAAAAGCATAGGCAACAAAAGAAAAAATAAATTGAACTTTGTCAAAATTAAAAACATTTGTGCATCAAAGCACACTGTTAAGAGAGTAAAAAGACAATCCACAAAATGGAAGACAATATTTGCAAATCATATACCTGATAAGGAATTAATATCTGAAGTTTATAAAGAACTTATACAACTGAACAGAAAAAAACAAAACAAAACAAAAACCCAATTCAAAAATGAACAGAGTACTTGAATCTACATTTTTCCAAAGACAATATACAAATGGCCAATAAGGACATCAAAAGATGCTCAGTATCACTAGTCATTAGGGAAATGCAAATCAAAACCACAAGATGCCACTTAACATCCATTAGATGTTCAAAAAAACAACAACAGAAGATAACAAGTGTTGGCGAGGATATGGAGAAATTGGAACCCCAGTGTAGTGCTGGTGTGAATGTAACATGATGTAGCCACTGTGGAAAACAGTATGGCAATTTAAAAATTAAATAAAATTTCCATATGATCTAGAAATTCCACTTCTAGACATATACGCAAAAGAACTGAAAGCAGGAACTCAAACAAATAGTTGTACACCAATGTTCATAGCAGCATTATTCATAACAGCCAAAAGATGAAAACGAACCAAATTTCCATCAACAGATGAATAAACAAAATGTGTTATATACATACAATAGAATATTATTCAGCCTTAAAAAGGAGTGAAATGATAAACCTTGAAAACATTATGCTAAGTAAAATAAGCAAGATACAAAAGGACAAATATTGTATGATTCCACTCATATGAGGTACCTAACAAGAGGTAAATTCATACAGACAGGAAGTATAATAGTGTTTACCAGAAACCTGGGGAAGAGGAGCTTGGGGAACTTGCATCTGAGATGATAAAAAATTCTGGAAATGGATGGTGGTGATGGTCGCACAACATTGTAAATGTACTCAATGCCACCGAATGTACAATTAAGAATGGTTAAAATAGTAAATTCCATATTATGTATATTTTATGACAAAAAATTTTGAAGCCCATTTAAAATATTTTAAGTTTTGATTCATAGGGTTCAGTTGCAAATCATTAATAGATTTAAATACCTCCTTCTCATAGATGCCCAGAACAACTTTTCTAAATTCCTACGCTGTTGCATGATATGCTGTTTCTGGTGTTTGGATAAAATGCTAAAATTTTTAAACAGAAATGCCTATATTATGGTAAGTAGATTATTTTTTATTTACTAAGCTCCTTCTTTGCAAACCCAAACCCTATGTGTATATTGCCCTCTCCAAAGCACTTTGCAGTTAAATGTACACCATGCAGTTAAATGTATCACCATGTTGACATAAGGATCTATGAACCCAATGCATGATTCAAGGCCATGTTTCCCAAGTTAAGATAGTATCTTAACTATACTTCATTACCTTCAATATCTTCAGTTTGAGAGGGGAAAAAAATAATTTACATTGGAAATTTAAAGTATGCAAGATTGAAATTGTTTTTGTGTGTCTTTGACATATTAATGGGAAGAAAGTTTACTAGTCTATGTTTCACTCACTCTGGGAAGAAAATATCTTTCTAATTCTGGGATTTATATAATTTTAAGGAAGGTCTGATCCTTTTTATAAATCTGCGTTGAAATGTGTGGGCATTGACAATGTTTGACTGAATTTGTTAATTATCTCCTATGGGAATGTGGAGCCTTCTAAAGAGATTTTTAAAAATAAAGGATCCAGAAATACAATTCTTCCAAAATTTCAAAGTTACAACTTTATGACACTTGTTTATTCTAACAGTGACACAGGGTCTGGAAAAGTGATTCAAACAGTCATGGAGATTCAAATAGTCATTAATTTATCTCCAGTGAGAGTTGAGCCTTTTAATCAGTAAATCAGTGTAGAGAAAGGCATTGGGTTTCTTTTAAGAGTAATTTTAACATGTATTTGTGCATGTTTGTGGGGTACAGTGTATCATTTCAGTACATGCATATACTGCACAATGATTCACTTAGGGTAGACAGCATAATTTTGTACCCATTTCTGTGGTGACTACAATATTTAATCCATTCAGCAACAAACTCTAGCCCAAACATTTCAAGGACAGAAGCCATTATCTGGGATCTGAAAAAAGACCTTCCTGCCTCTGTTTGAGGCTGTCTAATCCCCCAGAGTTTAAGGGCATATAGCATCTAAAGCATACCTTATTGTCAATGACCATAAGAGTTGTTCAGAGTTGAGGACACACAGTTCCCGGACTTCCCACAAACCTAAATGTTGGAAAGAGGAATGAGAGTAGCCTAATGGATGACAGGAATTAATCTGGTTATTTTCCTGTCATTGGATTGTCCTTTGGTCTTATTAGGGCATGTTACTTACTCCAAAATAATATCAACTGTCTTCCTCAGATTGCAATATATGGCAAAAACTTCTGCAGGTCAGCAAGAGATGCTTTCAATCTGCTTATGAGAAATGTTTTAAAGTAAGTAATCAGGTTGAACATTGCAAGTAATCGCGTTGAACATTTGGTGACCCTTGGGCATTACATCCTTCACATGTTGTTATTTAAAGTGTTGGTGGCCTTATTAAGCATGAATATTATCTTTTAATTTGGTAGATTTAAATCTCTCTCACACCATTAATTTATTTTCATATCTTGCAGTTGCTTCCATCATCCCCCTATGTCATTACACCCTAAGGCATTTACTCATTTTTATTATCCCCTCTGCTCAAGAAATTCCCCAGATGAGCCACATTATCATCTTGTTTCTGGGCATTTCCCCCTTCCCAAATTGATGGAGCCTGAGTGAATAAAATCGGAGAACAAATACAGAATCCTCAGGATTCAGGGCGTCTATAGCCCTCGAATTAGAGAGAGAGGCTGACACCAGCACTGCAGGGCACCTGACAGCCCTACAATGCCATCTTCTGTTTACTTCATTAAAAATAAGTCAGAACTTCATCCCTGAGTTCTACCTTTATTTCTTGCACTTAACAATCGCCACATAAAATTTCAGCAAAGACAAATAAAAATGAACTTAGGAATTCTTTACTCCTGTAAATTTCAAGTAACAAGTGTATTTTAAACACAAACTTAAACTTTCTTTTTTCTAAAACTCAGTGTTGCAGTTACGGATGAAGTTGTGCACTTTGTATTATTGCTGGGGAAACTTCTAGTTGCTGGGAGTATAGGTAAGTAATAATAATAAAAATAATAAAAAGCTTAAAAGATGCTTGGAACAACTTGTTTACCTCAAAAAGCTATATTCCTTTTCAAATGCCTAATATATATGTTCTGCCTTTTCAATGTAGGTGTTCTGGCTTTCTTACTCTTCACACAAAGAATGCCAATGATTTCAGAAGGACCGACCTCTTTAAATTACTACTGGGTACCTTTGCTGGTAAGAGCTGGTGTCTTAGTTCAGGCTGCTATAACAAAAATACCATAGACTGGGTGACTCAACCAACAGAAATTTATTCCTCACAGTTCTGAAGGCTGGGAAGTCCAAGATCAAGGTGCCAGACACTTTGGCTCCTGGGGAGGGCCCTCTTCCTGGTATGCAGAAGGACACTTGCTGCATCTTCACATGGCAGAGAGATCATCTCTTTCATGTCTCTTCTTAACCCCACCCTCATGACCTAATTACCTCCCACCTTCAAATCACATTGGGGATTAGGGCTTCAACATATGAATTTTGGGGGACACAATTCAGTCCATAGCAGCTGGGTATTGTTGACACTATGATTTATCAGAGATGGCAAAATAAAAAAACAAAAAGGAATATGTGAGGTAATGGTGCTAGCTAGCACTTTGGCCTTATTTTGTGGCAGGATGCAATCTGCTTTAGAGACTGTGTTCCTTGGAAGCAACCTCTGAGACAAAGGATTGCATGCAGAAGGTTTATTAGGAAGTTCTCTCCTGAAATATACATTTGTAAGAAAGTGAGAAGGGCAGGGCAGAGCAGCAGGAGAAGCTAACCCATGCTGCAGTTGCAGTCTCAGACATAATTACAGGAAGTTCTGGTAGAGGGGCGGGGCCTTTGTATGCTGCATCAAGCAGTGTTGGTCATGGGCTGACCTGGAATGGGTATAACCTTGGGTGAGGGAGGGAGGGCAATTCCTAGTGAGGGGAGCAGCTGAGTCAGCAGCAGCCTACACTCCCAACAACTGGGAATGGATGAGGCAGTTGGAGGAGATCTGGGTGGAGCCCTTCAGTATGTATTACAGTATACTAACTCACTTAATCCATATGTCATGAATAATGTTATTACTCAATTCTCCCCTCCCCCACTGCTAACTTTTATAGGAGGCACAGAGAGGTTAGGTAACTTGAGTGCCTGAGCTGTGGTTCAAACTCAAGCAGTATGTACTCTTAACCCCTTATGCTTTACTGCCTCGGTGTGCAGGATCCTAAAACTGGGATATTTTTGGTAGGCATTGGGGCTGGCAGTAAGAAAATGGGAAGGTAATCTAGTATTTTGTTTAAATCTCAGTACAAAGTATGCAAAGTCATTATCATTGAATTTTTCAGTCTCTATATTGAAATCTTTTCCACCACAGAGTACTTGAAAGCTTTCCCATCATGGTTTCATTTACAAATGCATTATTGTTCTTCTGGATGAAATAAATGACATGTTGGTTCTCTTCTTTATCCATTTACAGACTGTCACTTTTGGAGCTTACTTAATTGCACACGGGTTCTTCAGTGTCTATGCAATGTGTGTTGAAACAATTTTCATCTGCTTCTGTAAGTATTCAGTGTGTGTGCTTTCCCCTTCGGTGGATAAATGAAAGATGAGAAGGTGAAGATCCATGTCCTTAGCTGGCTTGTGGATTTGCTATTACCTGAATGTAACTGCAAAACAGTGTTTACCTGGAAGGAGACATTGCTTAGTAGATGCTCTTTAAACCTTAATAAGTGAGAAATAAGCCAGACACAGACAAATACGGCATGATCTCACTTATATGTGGAATCCAAAAAAGTCAAACTCATAGAAAAAGAGAGTAGAATGGTGGTGGCCAGGAACTGAGTGGTGAGGGAAAGGGGAAGATGCTGGTCAGAGGGTACAAGCTTTCAGTTATAAGATGAACAAGTTCTGTAAATTTAATGAACAGCATAGTGCTATAGTTAATAACACTATATTATGTACTTGAAGTTTGTAAGAGTATATCTTAAGTGTTCTCACCACACACACAAAAAATAACTATATGAGGCAATGGATATATTAATTAGCTTGATTATGGTAATCATTTCACAATGTATATGTTTACCGAAACATTGTAAATGTTAAATATATTCAATTTTTATTTGTCAATTAAAGCTGGGAGAGATGTCATACCTCAATAAAACTGGAAGGGAAATAAAAAATTACAAAAAAACAAAACAAAACAAAAAAAGCCTTAACAGCTGAGAGAATGGAATTTGCAAAGCACAGGAGAGTCAACAACTGAACTGAATGAATCTCAAGCTTCATGGCATGGTGCTAGCATGAAATTACTCTCTAATTTCTTAATGTTTTCAAATTTAATAATAATGATTGGCTTCTGTTGTGCTTTGTTAACAGAACTGAGGATGTAATTGGACTTTGGGAACTAGATTTTGGGAATTCTTTGAAGAGAGCATTTACGGATTCTGATAAAACCAAGACGGCAGTGATTTCAAAGACACCTAGGGCCAATTCACACTATGTAACACAAAGACAGATAGGATTCAGAGAGTAGCATGTCTGAGAAGTTGCTGGATCATTTTAGATATGAGTTAAAATACTTCTTTAGAGCTTTCATCACCAACTTACACACTATGACATGTGGCATATGTGGCATGTACAACTCACACACACAAAATAGATGTTTTCCATTAGTAACTCACCTGAAAAGTCCTGTGAAACCTCGTTCCTATCAGAACCTTGGTTTGGCCCTCACCTTCAATACCATCTCTCTGGCAAACCTAGAGAAGGAAGGGTCAGCAGGTGAAATAACAGAACTTGTCAGCCAAACAGCTACACACCCTGAGAGATTATTTCTTTGGCACATTGCTCTTAAGATAAGCGGAGAAAATGTATTCTCTGATAGGACATTACTGAACAACCCACTTATATAAAACTAACAGTTTAAGTTTTAGAGTAACCCATATCACCAACTTCACGATACAGTCAAGAGATGAGATAGTTAACTATGGAGAGATATATTCAAGGAAAAATCTCTTAGAAACTAGTATGACCTTATGTATTTTCTTCTTTCTGAACATTTTAAAATCAATGTTCAATAACTGGACAAAGAAATTAGGAAAACTTTGTGTACTAGTTAGTTATTCCTTTGGCTGTAAATAGAACTGGAATGTGTAATCCTTTCCTAGTGCTTCAGTAGTTTGTTAAGAAAAGCCATCTACGAAATACCACATGAACAAACTCCAGTTCAGGTATGAGATGGAAAAAGGATCACTGGAGTAGGGTAGTGCCTAGGACATAGTATTTGTATTGGTGGCTGGACAGTATGGGGATCCAAGCCCTTGATCTTGGTGCTATCACACTGTGCTCTAACCAACTGAGCTAACCAGTCAACCCTAGGACATAGTAGAGAAAGGGCTCTGGAATGCTCAAAGATCTCAGACGCTAAGCATGGTATCAACACTTGGAAATCCCTCTGTGATCTGCATTCTAGTAACTAAAAATATTTCTCAAAATGAATCTCAAAAAATGTCTAGAATGTACTAGTTTTCTGTCTTTGGAATCTTTAGCTAATTGTATAGATATTAAATTTGGCAGTGGACTTTGAATTTGAGCAGTAAGAAATGTTTTCCACCCATCTTTATTAATCAATTGCCAACTTCTTGAAAATCAAGTATAATATCAGCTTTATTCAATTCACTGGGTGTTGACATGTATAGTTTTCTTTCAGAGACTGTTGTCTTTGGTAATGAGGAACAAGGGAAAACATATGGTATTTCTCTTCCCTCCCCAGCTATTACTATAGGCAAACTCATACTTTGGAAAACATTCTTCTGAAATGATATCATAAACCAAATTCTAATTGTGTGGAATGACACTTTTATTTTTTTTTATATATCTTTTCATATCTGTTATCTTGGTTATCTTGGCTGCCAGAAAAATAGTGTTTTTTAAAATGCCAACTATTCATAAACAGTTTATTTATTGGACTCAGGGTGGGAAGAGATAAAAGTTGTAGGTAATTATTAACGTGGTCCAGACCAGGCTTCCTACCAATACCTTAGGGGTAATAACAACATAGACATATATGATATATGATATAATACAATAGTCCCCCCCTTATCCATGAGTGTATGTTCCAAGATGAAACCACAAATAGTATGAAATCCTATACATGCCGTGCTTTTTCCTATACATACATACCTATAATAGTGTTTAATTTATAAATTAGGCACAGTAAGAGATAAATAGTAATAACTAATAATAAAATAGAACAATTATAACAATATGCCAGCGTCACTACTTTTGCACTTTGGGGCCATTATTAAGTAAAATAAGGGTTACTTCAACACAAGCACTGCAATACTGCACAGTCAATCTGATAACTGAGATGACTAAGTGAGTAATGGGGGGGGAGCATCTGAAGTGTGCATATGCTGGACAAAGGGATGATTCATGTCCCAAGAAGGACGGAGCTGGATGGTGCAAGATTTCATCCCGCTACTCAAAACAGTGGCAATTTAAAACTTATGAATTTTTTCTCGAATTTTCCATTTAATATTTTCAGACATGGTTAACCGCGGGTAGCTGATACTGCAGAAAGTGAAACTGTGGATAAGGGGAGACTACTGCATAGAAATAGGTTAGGGACGAAAGAACAAAAATGTTCAGTGTCTATCATGTTCCCTCCTTGGCTTTTCATTTTGTATGTGAGGAAGGTCACTGTAGGATCTAATGCAAGAACCTACTAAAGGAATAATTCAGCGATTCTCAAAAGAGTATAGATACACCCTGCTGTGAATTGTATGTATCTGCAGGAAACTTAATTCCATGCAAACTTCTCCTTGCTTCTCAGCACAATTCTGGTACTTCCCCCCAGCCACCCAGCAGGTAGGTGATCAGTAAACATGTCATTATTTTAATATTAGCCTAAGCAAAGCAGGATGGTAAATTCACTATTACAGAAGTCAAAAACACTGGTATTAGCTTTCTAATATAATCTGAGGCAGACTGCAAAGATTTAGGACAGGACGCCTTAAGGTAAGGATGAAGACTGGACTAGGTGTGGAAAGGCTGGGTCCTCATCTCATCCTGATTACCTCAGAGCTTTTTCCACTTCAGCAGAGTCTTTTATTACCTCCCTGGGCCTCAGGTTCCTCATCTGTAACATTAGGGTGTGGACTACCAGGAAGAGTGACTTGAAACTCTGAAATCCAATTATTATTCTACATTTACCACAGAGTTAATACACTTTTTATTCAGCTTCATCCCCAAGGATGTGGCAATTTATGTTTCTGAAATGAACAATCACAGGATTTAAAGATAACACTTTTGAAAGGCCATGAAAGATCTCATTAACCTTTCAACTATCAAAACAAACCTTTTGGAGTGGGAGGGATTTAGGAAGTTTCAGTGCTTCCTGGCGGAGGTTGGGCTTCTTGCCTTATCCAGCATCAGCAACTTAACTGCACTGATTTATGTTATCTTTGACTTTCTAACCCTGATTTCTCTGATTTTTCCCTGTTCAACTCTCCAATTTATAAAAATGCACATAATTGTTCTGCTGCTGCTTGCTGCTTTTGCCTGCTTTGGCTGCTGCATATACAGGTGAAGATCTGGAAAGAAATGATGGATCTACAGAAAAACCCTACTTCATAACCCCTAACCTTCACGGAATTCTGATCAAGAAGCAACTAGTTCCCCCGAAGCATAAAGAGTAGAAAAGCTCCAAACAGTGTCACTCACTTTTAAGTTTTGTAAATTAGGTCAATTGTACTTTGAAAGTGTTGCTTTTGAGTAATGTAAAATGTCTGTGCTTGTTTCTAAAAAGCCAGCACCTGGTACCATCTGAGGTGTCAGCATTTGATAACAGTAGCCTCTGTGAAGTGGGATACTTTATAGACTGTGGTCCCACCCCAAGAGCAAAGTGTTGATGTCAAACATTTTGAAAATCTATAGCTTGAAGTGTTTTAATAACTTTTATAAGTAAGCGTGCTGTTTCCATTGCAGCACTTTGACAGCCTTTCTTTTTATATGTGTATGTTTGTAAAGGATATTCAGGCAATTTTTGAAAGCACTATAAATGTGTAATCAATTAGCCATAAAAATATTGTTTATAGTTAACCAGCATATGGTACTCAATTTGTAAATATGGTGCTATGGCTATATTTATACTGTTTGAGCTGGTGGACAACTCTCTAAACTGTGATTAAACTTGTATTAATGGTTCCCTAGAAAGTATATTTCAGTAAGTGGGTCAAGTCCGTAACAAACATGTAGTTGTTAATGTTACACAGGTTCTACAGAGAGCATTATTGTGTAAAAATTACCGTGGAAACTTCATAGCCCATTTTGTTTTAGTGAAACTATATTTATATTGAAGTCGAATCTGAGTTCTGGAATGTCATTTCCAATATTATGAACCTCTGGCCACCATGAAAATATTCCGAACAAAACTGAAATTGCCACATGACTCATGCCTTTTGTCTCTAAACCAAATTTCCTATTTCTACCATATCAGTATGGATTTGTTTTAGAGGAGTGATTATACTTTTTCATGGGCATACCTGTATTTCTCGATTAATGAAATTGTGTGGCTTTGTTCTACAAAAGGTTTAATTTTAACTTGATTTTCAGTGAGGAAAGAGAAAAGATAAGCAAGACACTTCAGATTTTACCCTAAGGAAATACATTTTTGGCCCTCCATTAGGTACCTCATCTGGTACCTTTACAAAGGGCATTAGGAAATCTCTCCCTCCAGGGCTTAGGAAGAAGATTATTGCCACACTTGCCTCTGCTGGCCAGAGGTTTCTGGCAGCCATGCCTAAGTCTTGCATGACAGAGCAAAGCATGAATCAGACACTCAGATACCTTGCTATGTGCGCAAATGCATATGGTATGGCTAACAGTGTAAAAATGCATCCCAAAAGGATCATAGAACCAATTTGTGTCCTTTTGGCTTTTACACTAAACTTGCATATAAGGATTGTTTATAAATTGATGGAAAGGGACATGTTGATGTAACATGTTGGTCAGAATATAATCCACACATCTAAGAGTTGAGTCAGAAATGTATTATTGTCTCACAAATTAATGTAAATACTAATTCATTTAATTATCCTTAAGTGTAGGAACCTAGGTTTAGACTGATTCTCTGGCAGGTTAAGCAAGAAGCCAGTGAATGGGGAGGATTTTCAAAATATTGGTCCTAATAATGACCACCGACTTATTTTTGGCTTACTTTCTTGAGATTATTGTAGTCAAAAGTGTCACATAAAAAAAAAAAGTGCCACGTGGTTTCTCATCTTGGCAAAAAGTCTTCTTCATTCTCATTCTCCTTGAAGCATAATGCAGGGAATAGTGATCACTTAACATTTTGGATTTTTATTATTATTATGACTTTATTATTCAACAATACAGGGGTCACAACAAAGATCTAATAGAACAGTGACTTCTACCTGAGAACTTGTTATAAATACAGATGCCTGTGCCCCATCCAAAAGATTCTGATATATTATGTTTGGATGTGGTCCACCGTGTGAATTATTTAAAGTTCTCTAGTTGATTCTGACACACATAAAATTTGGAAAATCAGTTGAATAAAATATAAATCAACGCATGACAAACCAGTTGCCTATATAATTATATTATGGGCTTATTTCCAGTCAGAAAAACAGTCTGCATTTACTACTTCTTTGTGTAATTGAAATACATGAAATAAAAATGTGCATTGTTTTTGAGAAGAAATTTAGAAGCCATTTACTTAGAAAGCAAACTAATAACTGTGAAAAAAGCAAAGCAATATTACTCAAAACTTGCAGCTAGGGGATTTGAAATATACTAAAATTTTACAAATCATATTTTTTAAGTCTGTACTATCTAGATTGTTTATAACAAAAGCGATTTTGACCATATGGTAATTTAGAAAGTAAACTGGGAAAAAGATCAAATTTCTTCAATTACACAGCTGAGAGACATGCAATGTTGGCAGAATCTGACCTGGTACACAGAATGAGATAATATCCTCCTGACATAATAACAAGGGCTGATTGTTTTCTCATACCTATGTTTACAATAATGTTGGTGCCAAACTACACTGTTTAAAAAATAATGGTATTTTGAACTGCTGTAAAGCAAGTATGCAGCAGATGGCGATGTTACTTCTCTTACAGTTTTGCTTTGATATTTACTCTGTGCCATTCTTCCTCCTAGTGGAAGATTTAGAAAGAAATGATGGTACTACTGCAAGACCCTATTTCACGAGTCAATCTCTGATGAAGATTTTGAAGGAGAAAAATAGACATACTAAGGACTAGTAGAAGAGCAAACTGGTCATCTTACAGCGGTGTGTTACCTTTTCCTCATCTGCTGTGTCTGTGCAACACCCCTTTCATAAGTGCTTTGTGTTTGGCAACACTATATTCACGACCTTGTTGGCTTGCATTTGCATGTTTTATACCAAAGCTTATACTGTAATTTGTGAAGCCATCAGAAGTTGCAAGGAAGTTGTTAATAACATGAAACATTTTTATACTAAGATCTTTTGTTTTCTAATTCATTTTTAAATAGAGTGGCTTGGATGTTTTGAAAATACTAGATATGTTAATATTATTTTAAATATTAGATTGAAAAATGATACATTATTTAAATTGATAGCTCCTAATATATTTTTAGAATTACAACTAAAAGACTTCTTCTGCAGGGAAAATTGGTAAGCAAAGTGAAATAAAAAAATTGAAAGCTTTCCCCACTCTGTTCCACAGAAAATCAGTAAAAACTCTGCCCAGCTCCAGATTTTGCTCTCTTTAAGTATAGAATGTTTCCTATTAAACAAATTGCCAATCATCCAGCCTTTACTACTTCGTCCTATGACAAAGTGCCTTACTGGCTGTTTAATATTACCCAGCTTTTATGGGCAAGTTTACAAACATTGTGTAAAAAAAATTTTAAACCTACAATGTTTAGTGATTAAAACAAGTCTTCTTGCATTTGTTTTCCTCTTAGCTCACTGGTTGGAAACAATTTGTCATTTCAGTATGTTTAATATTCTCACTATTATAGTACATCGTGCAGCTAAACAATTTCCCTTGCGCCTAGTGGACATTCGTGAATGTGTACTATGCGCAAGAAAAAAAAAACCCAAAAGGACACTTCTGGGTTTCCTTGTTTTTTACTAAAAGAGATGTTTAAAAATGTAATCTTTTCTATAGTAGATCTTTGAAAATACGATAGGTATAAAACTGCATTTCTTAGCGTTTTACACAAATTGGAAAGGGAAACTTCTAGGAATTACAAAGGGAAACTTTACCCCTCAAAAGGGTGCTCACAAATGTCATGTACTGAATAGCTCCATTTCAAATGATTGTTTATTTTCATCAAAGCCTGTTCAATACATGTCATTTCATTTTTCGTATTTTTGATATGAAATTACCAGTTTATTTATATTAATTTTTATTGTGCTCTCATGAACAGGAGTATGCTTTATAATTCAGTTTTAAATAATTTTACTAATACTACAAACTTTTAAGAAAATTAATTCAGTTTGTTATTCAGTGTTATAGAAAGAGTACATAAAAGCATTCACCCTAAGGGTATGTCAATCATATAATGATAATCTGTGAAAGCTTTGAGAACCAATCAACAATAAGTTTCTATCAGTTTATCTATTATCACATTTGTTTAAATGTGACTTTAGATACTTTTATGCCAAAAATAAACTCACATGAGCACATGACAGTCTGAGCTCTATAATCAGTGTGTTTCTGCTGTGCAGAAATATTAGGAACATATTGTCTGAATACCTTTGATAACTCAAATGTTTAATATTTAATGAAATTTGTTGCTACTTATCATTTTAAATTTATTTGTTTTTTCTTCTAATAAAGATTTAGATAAGAAATAACTGTCTGCCTTTTCATTTCTTTAAGCTGGAAAAGGAGAAAAACTTGTTTTTAATACCTACCATACTATGATAGTATCTTCTCTCTACTTTTCTTAACATCTAAATTTATCTTCTAAAATTTCCATTTTTCCCTTGCTGAGCATTGCCAAAGCAAATAACTGAGCACTGCCAAATCAAATAACTAAAACTGATAATTTATACACAGTAAATAAGTCAAAGCAATATGGACAAAAGATGGATTTGTTAAAGTCCAAACAATGGCCTAAATTAATTAGTTGATCTTTGTTTTAATTTGCCAAAGGTTTGCTCAATCCCTCATTTGGTTTTGCCAATACTCATAATAAGAAAATCTCATCATTTTCAAGGGAGGGATAAATTTAGAGAACCTAAAAAATTCGAACACTAATTAACAGTTTTCTAAAGCAAGATTAAATGTATCTATTACTGATTAGTCTTAAGCTAAATATTTTCTTAGGTTCAGATAGTCCTCAACAAATGCATGAGTCTATTTAGAGAACCTAAAAAATTCGAACACTAATTAACAGTTTTCTAAAGCAAGATTAAATGTACCTATTACTGATTAGTCTTAAGCTAAATATTTTCTTAGGTTCAGATAGTCCTCAACAAATGCATGAGTCTTTTTTTTTAGGTTGAATTATATTTTAAATCTTCAAAATTAATTTTTCTTTAAAATTTAATGGGTTTCTTTCAAAAAATAAAACGTTATTGCCATTTTCAGTGTTCTTTTAAAATTTTCTAAATCTAATAAGACGTTTGTTAATATAGCTAATGATTCTTATCTGAAATAAAAATGTACTTTGGTTTCCAGAAGAAATCCTGAATTCTGCCTAGATCTTAATAACTCCTACTTTTAGATAATAAAGCAATGATCATGTTTGTAAATAAATTGTATAAAATTGGATTCTGATTGATTTGGTTTTCCTATGTGCCTAAAAAGCTTAAACAGAGTTTGTGTATCCTATAGTAAAATCACACTACGAAAGGTTCTGTGGGATCATCAGGGGTAATATGATTATTATTTAAATTGATATTGGAAAATGGGCTTTGTGTAACAATTCCTTATTTCTATTTTAGTATATAGCTGACTAGCACTCATTCCAATGTATGTTCTTTCACTTTTACAAGTGGTGCCTCAGGAAATTGCTCTTAAACTCTAACCAGGCATAGTAATTATCCCTACTATTATCTAGTTCTGGATTGGGGAACATGCTTTATAAATCGGTCTTTGTTGGCAAAAGATATGGGGACAGAATTGAACTAAAATCATTATTGCAGACCATGGTGTATGAAATGGAATCTTAACGTTTTTTCCAGTTTCTTGCAAACGTTATCCTTAAATGTTTGCAAATGTTTGTGTTTTTAAAATATAGCTATATGATTACAAGAATACAATTCAATAAATCATTAATAAAATATTTTATCAATAAACACATGCATGCTCCATTAAAATCAAAGCTTTGTGTTTTGTAATCTAATTCTCCTTATCTAGGTCTAATAAATAAAGTGACTAAAAGCCAGAAAAAAAAAACAAAAACAGGAATAAATTACTTCTTCAAAGTTACTTCCCATATACCATGTTTTTAGTCTTGGGGCTAAAATAGGTATGTAATCTAATTCTCCTTATCTAGGTCTAATAAATAAAGTGACTAAAAGCCAGAAAAAAAAAAACAAAAACAGGAATAAATTACTTCTTCAAAGTTACTTCCCATATACCATGTTTTTAGTCTTGGGGCTAAAATAGGTACTGAAGACTTTTCTCTCAGGACCTAGCTGAATTACTTATGGTCCTTAGTGAATTTATCATCACCCAGAAAATAAAGCCAACCCTCATTAAAATAAATGTGAATTCATTCATTTATGAAAATTGAGTACCACCTTGTGCAAGACTTGGACATCAGAAAGATGTCACAGTGACAGGCCCTTTTAAAATTTATCAGGCCAAATTGAACCACCTTCTCCCCCATTTACAACTTTCCAATTGCTTGGAGTGAAAGGTAGCCAAAGCAGGGTAAAATATGGCAATATTTTCTGTAACAGTTTCTGGGCTGGGAGATAGGGAGCTGCTACGTGACACATTTAAAGCAATCAGTTCAATTTTACTATTAGAAATCACTAGCTTTTTTTTTTCCTTCAAATTTAACTCCTTCCCCCCAACCCCTCAACCTCTTTCTGTCTATTCTATGAATCAGAATAATTTAAGCAAGTGGAAAAATTGTGAATGCAAGTAAAATGCCCTTCTACTCCTAGCTCAAAAGTACAATACATCTTCATCTTCTGGCCCTTTGCAGTTAGAGCCCAGTGTGTTAATAAGAGTGGGAGAGGCTTATCAAATGAGAAAGATGTTTGCATTCTACATATACGTTAAAGTGGAACCTGAACTTGATTCATTGTTAGATAACCTTGGAATCTCCACATTCTTCTAGACAGATTGAATGTGCATTGCTGCATTGTGCCTGCACAGAAAGGAGAAAATGAGGGTAAGATTTTGGAGAAAGCACTGGTATTCTAGAGGAGAACAGAAAACCTAAGGACATTTAAAGAAATCTCTAGTGGGATCCAAGAGGGCAAAGTTACAAGAAGTGGAGTACCTTCTGAATATAATTCATAAATCTATTAAGAAACTCAATAGCAAATCAGAAGACAGAATTTAAACAAAAATAAGTTTTCAGTCCTTTGCTAAACAGCATTGAAGCAGACTGTTACAATAAAACTAATCACATAGATGTACTTAGCACAAACAAACAAAGGGAATGATGTCCAAATGATTTATGGCTAAGAGATTAAAAAACATCTGCCTTTTTTTCACAGTGCTCTTGCATGTTACCAAAGCTTTGCTGTCATGACGAGCTGGCGTTCCTCTCTTTTTCCTCTCAACACCGAGATGGATTCTCTTTCAGGCTTGGTTTTTCACTTCCTTGACTTCAACCTGGTCTCTTGCTTTATCTCATTTTCCCTTGCCTATAAGAAATTGAAGCTCTAATAAGGTCTTTGGAAGGAAATGCAGGTGGGAGAGGAAATGGAAGAATGAAAACGAAGACTTCAGCCAGCAGCGTGGGTTGTGCCATGGAGTGGCAGGTCTGCGGTATGTGTTCTGAACCACTCTAGGGATCAGGAAAGGCAAATGACAGAGCCCAGCGATACAGCATAGTGGCTAGCACTGGCTTTAGAACCAGACCAGGTAAGCTCCAGTTCCAACATCACCCTATTATTATGGCAAGGTGTTTAACCGCTCAGAGCCTCTCTTAGCTGAAAATTGAAGCTAACCCTCTCCTCACAATGCTGCTGGGAAGATGACACGACAGCATGTGCATCGTTCCCATTATTGGGGGCCTAGTACATAGAGACACTCAATTCCTGGTAGCCATTAATGGTGATATTCTCT